CTCCCTGTCAGCTGTTCGTCTTCCTCCTCGGATTCAGACTCCAACAGGGCCATGACAGTGGACTTCAACTCCCAGAATTCCCTCATATACAGTCCTTGATTTATGACCACAATTGAGCCCAAAATTTCTGCTGTGAAGTGAGACATTTGTTAAGTGACTTAGGTCCCATTTTATGACTTTTCTTGTCACCGTTGTTAAGTGAATCACTGCAGTTGATAAGTTAGTAACAATGTTGTTAAGTGAATCTGGTTTGCCCATGGATTTTGCTTGTCAAAAGGTTGCAAAAAGAGATCGCGACTTTCGGACGCTGCCACGGTCATAAGTATGAACCAGCTGCCCAAGCTTCTAAAATTTGATCACATAAACTACAGTCGTAAGTGTGAAAACTGGCCATGTCCATTTTTTTCAGTGCCATCGTAACTTTGAACTGTCATGAAATGACTGTTGTAAGTTGAGGATTACCTGTACATGCGAAAATGAACCATCGCTAGGCAGCCAGGTTTGAAATTCAAATTAAAAATTGAATCAAAACTGAGAATCTTTGTTAGTAATATACCCTAGGCCATCATTTTATGTGATCATACTTCCTTGATCACATTTGTAGGTATTTTTACTGGCTTAAAGCTTAAATGAGGATTTGAGACACTTAAAGCAACCTGTTGCATTTAATCATTCATAATAATTTATCATGCATCGGAAAAACTCCTTGATTTATTTTTGAACTTTTGTTTACTCATTTCTGCTTTATTCTTTTAATGTTTTCCAATTTCTATTTATGTGTGATTATATACTTTACCTATAGAATTAAATTAAGAGACAGTTTGCTCTCGTGGTAAAAGTACCAGGGTAGAAACCCCGAGAGTGTGAGTTGTAGTTCTGCCTCATGCATGAAAGCCAGCTAGGTGACTTTGAGCCAACCACCACGAGACGGTGAGTTCTAGTCCCGCCTTGGGCATGAAAACCGACTGGGTGACTTTGGGCCAGTCATTGTCCCTCAGCCCAACCCACCTCACAGGGTTGTTGTTGTGGGGAAAATAGGAAGGAGTATTAGATCTGTCTGGAGTGATTAACAAAAAATAAAGGCAGGGTGGAATTAATAAGTAAAAGTTAAAAAGTAAAAGGATCTCTTTCTTCAACCGGCAGCCCTGGTTGTTCCCCTGTAATTGTAATGGGGGGGTTTCAGAGAGGGGAGGCCAGGTGAATGGAAGGAACTGGTGACTGAGCCTGAAAAAGGGGAGGTGGGGGGGAACAGCCTGATTTTGAGGAAGTGAAAGGAATGTGAGGTTTTGAATTGCACACGAATAGCATCTGGAATAAGAGACTCGCGCCCGCAAAACATGCCAGCCAGCTTCATTCTACATTATTCATGTGGGTGCCTGCTGTTTGGAGAGATTCCAATTTCCATGAGGCTGGGCGATCAG